CGTCGAGGGAATCCAGGCTTATTTTCGCCTAGAAGGAGAGGGAATGGTAGAGAAGGTTCTCCATTCCCTGACTCTACTCGTAAAAGATAACCTTCACTTCGATATAGTACTTGGTATTGATTGGGGCATGAGTACAAGCTCCTTAGTCCTTCGTGTTTAAGAAAACCCGTCTGTTATATGTGTCAGGAGTTGACAACTCAGCACATTGCCGCCTTAGTGCCCCTGCCTTTGCCAAGCTAGCATATGACCAGCCAAAAGAGAGAGATAAGACCCATCCCGCTATCGCTAGTTTGCTCAAAGAATATGCGGATATAGCTGAAGCACCCTCAGTGGTAGCACCAAGGTTCATTCAGCACCGCATAAAGATAGAGCCAAGCAGTAAAACGCCTCAGAGAGCAGTCTACAGAATGTCTCCCAAGGAATTTGAGGAGCTAAGCAAGGAATTAGACGAGCTCCTAGAGAAAGGATGGATTGGACCCACTTCATTTGTGCCTGTTCTGTTCGTCCCCAAGAAAGAGGGAGATCTGTTAGACGAGTTTGAATGTAATAACCGTCCAGAATGTGAAACCATTGCCCCGCATAGGTGATCTGTTAGATCGGGTGCAATGCTGCAAGTATTTTACCAAGGTAGATTTAAAGTCACGATACCATCAGATAAAAGTTCACCCTGATGACCAGTATAAGACGGCATTCCGAACTCGACATGGACATTGCAAGTTTATAGTGATGTCCTTCGGACTAACTAATGCAGCGCTGTATGAATGATTTGTTCAGACTGTGGCTAGATAAATTGGTCCTGTGGACTAACTAATCCGCCAGCCACCTTTCAGCATCGTATGAATGATATTGTTTAGACCGTGGCTAGATAAATTGCTCGTAGTATATTTAGACAACATCCTAGTTTTTAGCAAGTCCCTTCAAGAACATGAGGGTCATCTAAGGCAAATTTTAGAGACTGAGGGAAACCAACTTCTAGATTAACGTGAAAAAGTGCGAGTGGGAGATGGCATCAAACCAAAGGACAACAAGATAGCAGCGATTAGAGACTGGCCAGTTCCTCGAACTCTGATTGAGTTGCCATCGTGTTTAGGATGGGCCAACTATTACCGAAAGTTTGTGAGAAACTTTACCGTCTAGAGAAACTTCTCCATTGTCGCTGCTCCGCTTCGCAGACTCCTAAAGAAGGAAGCGAGCTGGAAGTGGGACAACGACTGTACCTCGGCCCTAAAGAAATTAAAGAAGGCCTCCGTAGAATATCCTGTCCTCAATGTAGCTGATCCCTCATTGCCCTTCGTCATCACAACTGATGCAAGCCAGTGTGGCATAGGCGCTGTGTTACAGCAGAACGAAGCTGATGGCTGTGGACCCGTAGAGCTCATGTCAGCTAGGCTGCCTTCACAGAAAGTAGCAGCCTCGAAGTATGTGAGAGAACTCTACGCTCGTAGGCGGTCATTACATCATTGGAGACATTACCTGCTTGGGAGGCACTTTAAAGTCTACTCAGATCATGAAACTGAGATGGCTTAAACCACCAGCACACGGCCCCAGCCTTGCAGAAAAATGATCTTCTCGCCACAAGCAAAAATCGGGGCCCGAAAAAAAAAAAAAAAAAAAAAAAAAAAAAAAAAAAGGGGCCAAAAAAAAAAAAAAAAAAAAAAAAAAAAATGGGGCTCGAGAAAGGCCTGGTGAAGCAACGGGGGAGTCAGCTTGTGGGCCCATTGAAAACGGGCAACTGAACTAAAACCTTTCCTAGGGGTCCAATCTGCCGTGTGTTTCCACATGTACGTACAGAAGCCCTCCCTCACTGGCACTGGTAGCAAAACTAAAACAGAAAAAAAAAAAGCACAACCAAGGAAAAAACAGAAGCATTTGCTTTGGATTTTCATTCGAATGGCTGTGGCCACATTCCTAGTAGGCAATGTGGTAAAAAAGAAGAAACTAGTTTTTCGAGTGTCTGTAGATCTCGATCCAAGAGTCAAACAAGAATGAATACCACATATAAGAGTAAAAACTAGACTTCCTACTACTATAGTCAAACAATTGACTGTTGGATCACATCCAAGGGAAGTCATTGAGTTCTGGTCTTTCGTTTTAGGTGCCCTGCCAGGAAAGCGGGGCGTTTTTCAAGTTTTCCGGCAGCCGTTTCTTTTTTTTTTGTTTTCTTTTTAACTCTAACAAACACTTAGAACGTGATACTAGGTGAGTGCCAAGTCTTCCACTGCCGAATTTTCTCAACCTCTAAAGTCAAGACGTAGTGGCCCATCTCAAATCTGCTTAGTATCTATTTGTCCCCCCGAAAGTCTCTGGTAGTCGTTTCCCTCAGGGCACACTCAAAGTGGGACTTGGGTGCACGCACCTACCGAAAGCAGACTGCATACATCTAGGGGAATGCCTGTGGCGGCAAGCAGCCCCCAACCAGTTACTGCCGCCTGTCATCACGGACTGCCAGCAAAACAAGTGGGGACTATGTGCCCAGAAGAGAGACGGGCGCCCGTTGTTTTTTTTTTCATTTTCATGAATCTTTGCCCATTTCAGGCTGGATAAAGGCACATTCCTTTGAGGGTGCACTAGGACAAGCACAGGAGGGACAGCCAGACAGGATGTATCTAACTGCTATTGTGTCCATCTTCAGTAGAAAACGTCCAAAGCTCTTTTTTTTCCTTCTTCTCTCTCTGAAGCCCAGTATCGCTTTAAAACCACCGGGATTTGGCCAGATACACGGCCTGGCTTTGTGGAGAGTTTGGCTGCCATGGCACATGAGTGAAAACGACGACCTCCTTTTCATTCCATCTGCTGGCAGCTCGTCCAGCAGTTTGGTTCTTCAGTGTCCTGTACCGATGCCACCCTCAATTCTCCAAACGGCGGTACCAGTTACTTTCAGGCTCAGTGTACTGGTGGTTTAAAGCGCAAGCCAAGCTGATGCTCAAATTGAGGCCTGTTCAAGGCACGTATGAAGTGGTAGCCGATGGTCTAAGTAGAAGGGCTGATACTTTGGAGCAACCGTGCATTATCTGGACATAGGGGTAGATCTACAGCAGAAAATAAAAGACGCTCAGGACCCGATCTACAGTGATCTCCTGAAAAAGGTGAAGGAAATCCCTGATAGCGAACCAGATTACAGAACCACAAATGGGCTACTCTTTGAGAAGACCAATGTCATTGGTAGATTGTGCGTCCCCAACAGTGAAGAGATCCGCAGTTTGATCTTAGGGGAAAGCCATGATGCAGAAGGACACTTTGGCTGGCAAAAGACATCAGCCAACCTATCAATGTCATATACATGGTCTGGCATGAAAGTAGACTGTATAGAGTATGTCCGCAGTTGCAGAGTCTGCCAGCACAACAAAACAACCACAAGTGCACCCCTAGGTCTTCTGAGACCCTTGACTATCCCAGCAGAACCCGGAGAGTCTGTTTCCATTGACTTCATGGATACAAGGGTGAGTGATAGGCATGGAAAACGTCAAGGCATAGCCCTGATAGACGATTTAGCAAATATGTGATCTTCGTACCATAGCCCGTAGAGGCAAAGACTGAATTAGTTATAGAGAAGTTCTTTAATTTCTGGGTAAGTGAGCATGGCATACCGCTGTCAATAGTTAGTGACAGAGACACGTGGTTTACCAGCCTGAGGACAACAAATGGTTCACTGAAACAGAACTTCTAGAAACCGCTCCTGATGTAGTGCATGCTTACAAAAGAGCAAGAAAAGGTAAAGGTCCTGCCTTGGATTAAAGAGTTCTTGGCAGACCGCAAATTTAGGACGGCGGGAGTGAAAGGTTTCACCCAGTTCGCACAACATTGCAGATACCAGGACTCTATCCCCAGACCTTCCCTAGTCCGCTGCATAGTTGCCCATTGACCGTGTGCTTTGAACCCACGACCTATCCCTAAAACCTGTGTACATATATTTTGTGTGTGCAGCTTGGGTAGTGTGGGTTTGATCCGTAGGTTTAGTGTTTAGAAGTCTTAGGGTCATCTGTAGGTGGCCATAAGGTCAGTAGTTCGTGGCTAGAGTAGTTCCTGAAGAGTCGACTTGACCTCTCGAAGGTATTAGAGGCAGCCCACCAAATGTCTGAAAGGTCAAGAGTCCCAAGTCCAGCCCGAAGGGGCACATGAAAAGGCAGTCCCAGTCCAGTCCGTTTTGCAGCAAGGCCCAGAGTGGGGCTGCACATCTTGAGGGCCTGGAACATCGAGCAGGCCCAGACCACCAAACAAAACAGTATAAATATAGTGGCAGCGGTCAGTCATTCACTCATTATCTGGGGAAGCACGTGGAAGCGCTGCTCGAGTGACTTGTGTGTCGAGTTCACCGGTGGTCAGCAAGAAGCCAGAAGGTGGAAGAGGGTGCACGGCCATAGCAGCTAGGAGGAGGAAGACGACGACGGCCATAACCACCTTTCAAAGTATTAAAAATAGAATTGTTTGTAAAAATAATTATATTTTTTTATTGTAGAAGTTAGAAGATAGTGTGTGAGTGTGAGTGCAGACATCCAGAGAATATCAAGTGTTGTGTGCGTACATGCGTGGGAGTGTGTCTGACGGTCGATAAGAGTGTTCGAAACAAAGACAAGACCTATTGCAGCAACACCTCCTAATTTCTTCGGTATGCTACAAAGAATTGCATAAATAGGTAAAAAATACCATTCTGGCACTATGTGAGCTGGAGTTGACATAGGATTTGCAGGTATATAATTGTCAGGATGTCCCAATACGTTAGGTGCATAAAAACAAAAATGGACAAAAATATTGGTGGGAAATCCCAGGCTGGCGCTCAGACGCCATAGCCATGCGATGTGACAAGTTGTATTGAGCTGAGTTCCTGGCCAAAGGCCATATCTGCGCCGTCTCAAGTCTGTTGCTGATTCTGCATCTGTGGAACACGAAACGCCAACAACAGGTCTGATTGCACAAGAAACACCAACAACAGGCCAACTACAACTCTGATTGCACAAGAAACACCAACAACAGGGTACTGGCAAATTGAAGTCCATCCTTACCGTTGTGCTTATCTTGAGAGCATCCTTTGGGTCTGATGATGGAATGATGCGGAAAAGACACTGGAGCAAAGCCTTTTCGTCAAGCAATTGAGTGTGTGCTGCCGGTCTGTTCCCAGCCAATTCTATGGAACTGGTCTTCCCTGACTGCCCCTCCGCTGACACAGTTACTTCCCTCTCCTGATGACATTCAGAGGTCCTACTTGCAGCTGACAAGCCTTGCTGCCCTTGAACAAACTGATTCTGTTGGGCTTGAATGGCTGATGGCACTGCACCTGGGCCCATTAATCCAACAGAGGAGGAAACCATTCCCATCTGCTCTGCAGCTTGCAATCCCTGCTGGTGTTGCAGGTGCACACTCTGGTCTCCCTGTGACATATGTGACTGGCCTGGCATAGTCTCACTCTGCACCGGAGCCGTGTGTGCCTGAGGTTGGGCACTTACTTCTTGCACATTCTGCTGTTTTGCCACTAGGCTCACAGCCTGTTGCTGTTGGACAAGAACAGAACCATGGACTTGGTCTGACATTGTCTGCACATTTTGCCCATGTTGCTCATGCTGCTGTGACTGAGCTTGCATGACTGACGAAACTGGGAACTGCTGCTGCTGTGTCTGCTGGTCTGGTTGCTGCTGCTGCTGTGATTGCTGCTGAGGTTGGGTTTGGCCGATTTGCTGTGTACCCTGCTGAAGAGCATGCGGCATGATCTGCCTTGAGGCCTGCAAAAAGCGGCTCTGGGGCTGCTGCTGGTGGTGATAAGTCAGATGGGATGACTGCTGTCCTGGAAAGTGAGAACCAACGGCAGGACCATGGGGGTGCATTTCCACCAAGTGCTGTGATGGATACGTCTGACCTTTGTTGAGCATCGTGATAACCTGAGGATGCTGGACATGTCCTCCCTGTCCCCCGCCTTGCTGCTGCTGCTGCTGCTGCTGCTGACCTACCATATGAGATTCTGTTGACACATGAGGTTGCTGCATAAGGCCAACCTGGCCCCCTTCCAGGTGATGTGCCTGATCTTGCAGATGTTCCTGGAACTGCAACTGCTTTTCCTCTTGCTCTGATCGGTGCTGTGTCTGTGGCTGAAGATGTTGCTGCTCCTGCTGCTTGTCTTGCTGTCGTAAGACCTGCTGCTGCTCTTGCTGTTGCTGATCCTGCTGCTGCACCAGCTGCTGCTGCTGATGATGATGATGTGATTGCAGCTGCAGTTGATGAGTAGCCTGAAGCTGCTGATGATGATGAACTGCCTGATGGGATTGCGAATGTTGCTGACTGGACGACTGGTGATGCTGCACATGATGATGTTGCCCTAAAGATGTCTGACTCATTCCCTGACTTTGTGCCTGCTGTGCAACCTGCCCTGCATGCGTTGTTGCCTCTTCTTGTTGATGTGGCTGCTGCTGTTGTTGCTGCTGCTGCTGCACTTGCACTGGTCGCTGCATAAGTTGCCTATGCTGACCCCTTTGCGCCTGCAATGCTTGCTGCTGCTGCAACTGAGACTGATGCTGCACAATGGCCTGCCAATTACAGCATGGTAAACATCAAAACCAACCATGAACAAGTGGTCAGTCTTTACGAACACATGCAGAAACATCATTCCCGCACTTGTTTCACACGTGAAGATACTTTTCAACTTTTCCATATGACCACGACAGACTGAGACCTCATGCACCACCACATCCACATCCACATTGGTTGCCAAGGAACATACCACAAGTCTTCCTAAGCTTAGCAGTCGCAATCTCCCAAGCAATACGGAACTGAACTGACCATGACTGCAGAACATTAACCTCAAAAAAAATGACAAGCTGAACAGATTGAGAGGATTTTTGTCCTCGGCGGGCTCTTAAGGGGACCCGCTGCAAACTGCCCGCCCTAAGTGAAGATGGGCCTGCATTTCTCCACCTGGTCTAAACCAATTGTCAGGGCCTTTGGGGTCACCGTACAGTTAATGGGCGTCAGTTGGCTGAAGGGCCCTGCACACTATGCAGCTGTGGAATTGTGAGTTTTCTAGAAAAAGGTCTTCGGGTCAATCAGGATACAGCAAGTGACACAGGCCATATTGTACAGTTGGGGGCACCTAACTGTTCTGGTCCCAGGCCGTTATCTGAATTGGGTCTGAGGGCAGACACTTTGGCCCAACGTGAAGCTACTGGGCACATGGTCGCCAGGCCAAAGCACTTTCCATACAGGAAAGTGCCCGGCTGGCTCTCATTCTGCGGCAGCACTGCTGGTGTTAGCACTCACAGGCCGCTAGCAGGAGAGTCTGGGCGCACACAATAGCAGGTGGTGAAGGTGGGCGCTTCTGGAGGCAGCGCCAGTTTCCAGCCGGGCTTGGGGACAAGGACCAGTAGGGTATGGCGGTGGCCTACGGGTGGAGGACGAGCTTGGGCGTGAAGACAAGGGTGAGCTGTACCTGGTTCTCGTGGAGGTCTGCATGCGCGACATCTCCACGTGCTTCGGTTCCTGCTGCTGAAGTCTTCCTATTGCATTGCCATTAGTGTAGGCTAGCATAGGAGCTGTGTGATCATAGTCTGAAAGCTGAGCGCCAAGTAGGAGAAGAGACATTGACCGCGTTGTTGCCGTTGTCAATTGAGTTTGTTGTTTTGGTCTCCTTTTGTTGTTATGGTTTCTGGACAGGTCACAGCGATCTTGCTTTCTAAGTTCCTATGTGATATTGCAATTTGGAATTCTGTCATTTCTCATCCTTGACACTCCTCAAGTGAATAGCGGGTCTCGCGTAACGCTCCCGCGAGATCCCGCTTTCCGCTGTCCGGAAACGTGGTGGGACTGGTAGGCAGGCCCAACGAGCAATGCATGAGACTCTTGGGGTGGCCCGGGCCAGGGGCGGGTCGGACGGTCCGATAGAGGTTTCGGGGATCCGCGCCAGACGGTTCCCGAAACTTCTATCGGGGCGTCCGGTTCGGAGCCGGTCGACAATCTTAACGGTTATCGTCCGGTTTTTTAGCGTTGTATCCACGCAACGGTTTTGATAGCTTTGTGTTCGCTGTGCGGGTGGTGCGCTCGGTTCGGTGGTTTTGACTGCTTCATGCTCGCTGTGCTGATTGCTGCGCTCGGTTCAACGAGAGAGAGAGAGAGAGAGAGAGAGAGAGAGAGAGAGAGAGAGAGAGAGAGAGAGAGAGAGAGAGACGTCCGGTTCGACGACAGAGCGAAGGCAGGTGCAGACGTTCGTCGAGGTGAGGAAGAGTGCGTCGGAGGAGAGGAGAGGAAGGAAAGGATCGTGGGAAGAATTGTGGACTTTGCGCGGGGATTGCGCGGAGATGGTGGACAAAGGTTAGTTGATGGTTTTTCCTTTGTTTTTCCCCGTTTTTTTTCTTTTTTCTTTTTTCTTTTTTTTGTCGCGCTGTCGGGGTCAGATCGGGAGGTCGCGGTCGGGAGAGCAAGGGGAGAGAGATAGAGGTGGGGAAGTTGGCATGATGTCGGGGGAAGGAAACGGGATCAGGAAGGAAGACATAGGATGATCTGGAGGTCGGGAATCTTCGTCAAAACCATCAGTACATAAGACTCCCTTTCGCCCTAGTGAAATAATTGACCCATCATCTAACCACCAGATAGCTAATGACAATGGTGTAAGATGATTCAACCATCGACATCGAATAGCTAATTTATTTTTGTCATGTGTCACGGTCGGGAGAGCAAGGGGAGAGAGGTAGAGGTGGGGACAAGGAGATCGGGATGGGAGGTCGGGACCGGGAAGGGAGGGTGGTAGGGAGGAGGGAGGGGAAGTTGGCATGATGTCGGGAGAAGGAAGCGGGATCAGGGAGGAAGACATAAAATGATGTGGAGGTCGGGATGGAATGGGAATCGGGAGGTCGGGATTGGGGACGGGTTGGGACGCGGTCGGGGAAGGAAGGCAAGAGAGCGAGACATCGGGACGGGGAAGTCGGGATGGGAGGTTGGAAGCGGGAGACCGGGATGGGAGACAGGAATAGAGGGAGAGGTCAGGATCAGGGGGGGATGGGACGGTATCAAGATCGGGATGGGATGGGGAGGTCGTCGGGAAGGGAAGGTGGCAAGAAGAAGGGAGGGGAGAAGCCGCATCACGGAGGAAGACGGTCGGGATTGGGGACGGGTTGGGACGCGGTCGGGGGAAGGAAGGCGAGAGAGCGAGACATCGGGACAGGGAAGTCGGGATAGGAGGTCAGGACCAGGAAACCGGGATTGGAGACGCGAATAGACGAGGGAGAGGTCGGGATCAGGGAGGGATGGCACGGTATCAAGATCGGGATGGGATGGGGAGGTCGTCGAGAACGGAAGGTGGCAGGGAGAAGGGAGGGGAAGTTGGCATGATGTCAAGGGAAGGAACGAGCGGCGAAGAAATCGAGATGCCAAGGAACGGAAGGTAGCGAACGGGATCAGGGAGGAAGACATGAGATGATGTGGAGGTCGGGATGCGATGGGAGTCAGGAGGTCGGAATTGGGGACGGGTTGGGACTCGATCGGGGAAGCAAGGCGAGAGAGCGAGATGTCGGGACGGGGAGGTCGCAATGGGAAGTCGGGACCGGAAGAGGATCGGGATAAGGAGAGGTTATCACAGGCACGGAGAGGTCCGCACGAGGAGATCGGGATCGGAGGTTGGGACCGAGACGTCCGGATGGGAGACGCGAAGAGAGGGGGGAGGAGTACGATGTCCAGGCGGGATGGCATGGGAGTGGGGAGGTCGGGATGGGAGACGGGTTGGGACACGGTCGGGAAAGCAAGGGGAAAGAGAGAGAGGTCTGAACGGGGAGGTCAGGACCGACAGGTCGAGATTGGAAACACGAAGAGACGAGGGAAAGGTCGGGATCGGGGAGAAACAGTTGGGACGATATCAAGATCGGGATGGGATGGGGAGATCGGGAAGGGGGATGAGAATGGAGAAGCAGGAAGTCGTGGTCGAGGTCGAGATTGGGGATGGGAACGGAGAAAGGAAAGCTCGGGAGGTCGCGATCGGGGCATCGAGGGCAGAGAGGGAGACCTCGGGAGGAGAGTTGCGACGACGGAACGGGATGGCAATCGCGAGGTCGGGATCAGAAACCGATCGGGATGACAAGGGGAGAGGAAGAAAGATCGGGGGGAGAGTTGCGACGATGTGGAGAGAGCGAGAGGTTGGGAAGAGGAGATTGGGATCGGAAGTCGGGACCGAGACGTCTGCATAGGAAACGCGAACAAAAGAGGGAGGGGTACGATGTCGACATCGGGGTAGCACGGCAGCCGGGAGGTCGGGATGAGAGCAAAGAGAGACGAACAGGTCGGGAGGCTGCGCTCGGGGCATCGAGGGGAGAGAGGGAAAGGTCGGGGGGGCAGTTACAACTACGGATGACAAGGGGAGACAAGGAGACATCAGGGGGAGATCGGAAAGGCGTTGATATACCGTCAAGAGAACAAAGCGCGAGAGGGAAGGGTCGGGAGAAGGACATCGGAATGGGAGAACGGGATCAAGACATCGGAATGGGAAAGGCGAATCGGAGTCAGAAGGTCGGGATCGAAAAGGGAAGAGAGGGACACGTCGGAAAGAGAAGATCGGGATGGGAGGCCTGGACCGGGACGTAAACGGATCCGGGACGTCGGGATAACATGGGAGCCGGGAAGTCGGGATGGGAGACGGGTTAGGACACTATCGTTTTTTTTTTTGTTTTTTTTTTTTTCTATTTTGGTCACAAGGGGAGAGAGAGAGAGATTGGGGGGAAGGTTTCGACGACGGGTGGGAGGTCGGGACCGGGAGGGAGACACTTTTTTGTGTCATAAAAAAAAGCTGCATGGGGTGGACTTTTATCAATTGTTTCCTCTTTCTGCATGAGGTGGACTTCTATCAATTGTTTCCTCTTTCTTCCTCTATTTCATTGCTCTCCCTCCATGTTTGCGTTTCTCTCTTTGTATCTCTTTGTCTTCTACTACCTTTCCCCCCCTTCCTCGCTTCTCACAATCTTCATTCTTCTCGCCGCGGGCAGAGCCGCAGCGGGTCCACTTGTTTTCCTTATGATTTGGTATTGGAGCCGGCTCGAGCCCCTCCACCGGCTCCAGTTGGTTGATTAGTGCTGTGCCGTGAGCATGCACGGCAGCGATTTTCGGCGGCCCGGTGTGGTGTGGGCGCGCCTGGAAGGCTATGTGACAAGCTGTCTGAAGGGCCCTGGACGAACCACCGGCCACGGTCACCATGCCAACCCATGGGAGTAAAGCACAGATGCTTTGCTGCTTGTCCTTTGTATGCTCTTGCTGCGCATAAGAGATGGTGCTGGTCAGGCCAGCCCTATGGGGGATCGACGAGTACCGGACCGCCAATAAAGAACATCCAATGAGGACGACTGGCTCACGTTGTACGTGAGTTAAATAGTACAGACGGGCTGGCCAGTTCTGCACTTACCTGGGGCACAGGGGTGGGCGATGTGCACACCTTCAGACACTGCGCTGAAACCAATGCTTTGAGGACGTCGACAGGCAATTGACAATCAAGAAGGATCGAGGGGGTGGGTGGATTCCAGTTGGCTGTTCGTTTGTCAATTTCTGCAAAATTTAT